TTTCTCGAACAGTTGATAATATATTCAAAAATTTCATTGAAAAGAATGTATGAATGTAGAGCGAGAAATTCTTCTATAGAAATTTGTTTGGATATTGAAAAATTCAACAGAAAACATGGTGCTTTAATTAAGTTTAAAGAAAGATACATCTCGAAAAGAGGTAGAGACTATTTGCGCGATAAGAAAGGAAAAGAAATGTTTGAAGGTAGACATAAAATATTGAAATGGCAACAATAAAGGCGCAGGAGAGTTTGGAAAGGCTTGGAGGATTGCAACGAGGCTAAACGCTGCAGGAAATCTCAGTCAAAGAGATGAGAACGTTGAAAACGCGAGATGAGAGGAGATTGTTTAGATAAGAATGAAGACGAGTGAAGAAAATCTTGCGAATCTTAACAGGATTAAACATTGAGAAAAGGAGATAATTCTAGAGGGAAGTAACAGCGTTTACTGTGTAACATTATTACGCTTCTTTTATATAGTTGGACTATTCGAATCTAATTAAACGTGCAACAGAGCATATATGTGTATTCTCTAATTAATGTAGCAATGTAATTAGAAATTCGATGGAAAAATAAATACGTACTGAGCCGATTGACAGCTGCCGATATAATGTTGTAGGTAATTTCATCGTCGTATATCTGTCGAACCAGGAACTGTCCGTCCATGTTAACTGCTGCATCTTGCCTGCACGAACAAAATATGAACGAACATTATGTCATATTTAAAGCTAATTTCAAGTATAAGTTTGGGTTTTTGAGAAAGCATGCATATTCATTTTTATAAGTTTACGGTCGTGCATTACATTTTACATTTTTCTGCTCACATTCGGGCCAGTGCTCATATACAGGGTGTTCCAAAATTTTCTGATCAAATCTTGTTAAATTTTGTCAAGCTTTGTCAAACTTTGTTAAAGGTGGTCAAAGTTAAAATTTGTGAAATCTTGTCAAACTTTGTCAAAGTTTGTCAAAGTTAACCTTTGTCGAATTTTGTCAAACTTTGTCAAATCTTGTCAAATTTTGTCAAATCTTGTCAAACTTTGTTAAATTTTGTCAAAATTAAATCTTGTCAAATCTTGTCAAACTTTGTTAAAGTTTGTCAAAGTTAACCTTTGTCAAACTTTGTGAAACCTTGTCAAACGTTGTTAAAGTCTGTCAAAGTTAACCTTTGTCGAATTTTGTCAAACTATGTCAAATCTTGTCGAACTTTGTTAAAGTTAGTTTGTTTTGTCAAATCTTGTCAAACTTTGTCAAAGTTTGTCAAAATTAACCTTTGTCAAACTTTGTCAAACTTTGTCAAATCTTGTCAAACTTTGCTAAATTTTGTCAAAATTAAACTTTGTCAAATTTTGTCAAACTTTGTTAAAGTTTGTCAAAGTTAACCTTCGTCAAATCTTGTCAAACTTTGTCAAACTGTCACTATTCTCTATGGATACAAATAAAAAAAGATAGAGTATAATGGCCAAATATTTGAAAAAACTGTATATACAAACATATCGCTTTACACGCAAAGAGCGTTTCATTTTCATTCGACAGAATTTCGCTGGGGTTGTTTGAAAGTTCGCGACGCGATAAAGCGCGACATTAATCACGGGTTTGAAGCGGGGGGAAAAACGATAACAACAAGTGGGCAAGCATCGAAATTTGATGAAACTTTCGAGAGTCTAATTAAGAAGACGTTTTATTTCTCCATCGACAGCGTTAAATCTGTGAAAACTGAAAATATCCTCGTGCAATCTGCCAGAGGGTTGTTTATCACGTCGTAACGCTTGTATATACAAGAGCGAGGGACGCTATAACAGGAAATTAATTAGTTTCGTCGTTGAACAAAGTAAATACTTCTTAGCAGTAAAATGCCGGGCATTTTAACAGGTTGCCAGACGTTAGCGGCAGTTTCTATTAAATTTACAAAGTGCAGGCTAAAGGCACTCCAACCGTTTGACATGGATATGAGCTGTCACTCCAACCTCGCCGCAGAGTTTTCGTATAATTTTTCCAGGCTCTCCACGCCCGACAAAAGCCGCGATACATCTTAAGTGGACCGCAAAAATAATATTGGCGCTCTCGTTCCTGAAAATTCTTTCACCTCGTTAATCGTTAAAAGTGTCTTAACACAACCACAATTTTTCACCTCTTTCTCTGTCCATTTAAGACCCAAATTTCTTCAAAAACTTTTCATGAAAACTTCGAAATTTCTGCTTCGACATATATCTGACTTTTTTTTTTTAATTTATCATTGCCAAGGTAGACAAGGTAGATTCGTGAAATGGAAATTTATTAGAATTTTCAACAGGAAATGTTTCACCTTTATCTCTGTCCATTTAAGACGACCCAAATTTCTTCAAAAATTTTTCATATAAATTTCTGCTTCGACGTATGCATGATTTTTTTTTTTTAATTTTATCACCGATAAGGTAGATTCCTAGAATGGGAATTTATTAGAATTTTTATCAGTAATGTTCACATTTTAATGGAATTTCTTTTCTTGTCTAACTATAACACAAGCCACGTCAATTTTCATCTATACGTACCGGATCAAAATGCAGCGTAATTACGTCGCAAATGGTAATAACGCAAAAATAGCCTTCAAAGTCTCGTTTGAAAAAAAAAAAAATGAAACCGCTTCAACTCTCTCATTGGAGAGATTCTTTGACGTCGCTGATAATTCCATCGATGTTGGCGCGGGGATTTACGTATGAAAAATAGGACGAAAGCTCTGGCGCGCATTCAACGGCGGGCCGAAAAAAACGCACAAATAGGCTCGCGGAAATTACATCGCGCAATTTGCAAACACGGTGACGGCGAAACGTCATTTAGGACGGCTAAAGTGACCCTTTTTCCCGGAGCTTTTAAGAGTCATCGTCCTACCCTTACACTCCGGGTAACCCACATTTTCGTACCTCTCCCTCGTATATCACCCGACAAACAACATTGCCCTCGTGAGACTTTGTCGCAACGCGGACCACTTACTTTATTTGGGAAGAAAATCATGTCAGTTTTCCTTCCTGTTCCCCTCTTTCTTGTAAATTCATGGCTTCGTAAAAATACCATTAAAAAGCACATATTCAAAATAAAAATGTTATTCTAGGAACGAATGTTTAACAAAACTTTCGGGAAATGAAATGATCGAAAATGAAAATTTCGGGAAATGGAATGATCGAACATAAAAATTTGGAGAAACTGAAAATAAAGATTTTGAACAATGGAATGATTGAAAATAAAAATATTGTGAAATGAAATAATCGAAAATAAAAATTTTGTGAAACGAGTGTCTCTCTATTAGAAAAATTAGAGTATTGTTTACCGCATTTTTGTAATTTCAGAGATAACGTACAGTCTAGGACACTTGTTAAATGCAAATTAAATCTAAACACTCGTTAGAAAATTATTAAGACAAAAGAAAATTATTCTATTTGAAATATCGTAGAATATGAACAAACATATATTTTTATTTAATTTAAATAATTTTTAAGTAACTTAAAATATACAATACTTTTTGTACAACCATAATGGGTGTCCTGAAGGTACACCGAACAACAGTGCGCCTTTCTATCCCGAAATTCCCCTTATACCTATTGTGAATAATGCACTAATTATGCGACTAATAGTGCATTAACATTATCGACAGCACATCAACATATTACCCTTCATTGTTACATTGTAATCTACTGACAAAGACATTATTATCATTACTTTGTCGAGCATGAAATCTAACCTAACCCAGGATAATCCATTTGAATATCAATTTCACAGGAGCTTCCTTTATTAGTCACAATCCCTAACCATAATCGCTAACAAAATGGTATATAAATCTGAATTTAGGATTAAGCAGAGAAGCATCGATACAATAAAATAAACATCAATTTCCACCGATAATTTGAGATAACGATTATCTCGAAAGCAGCTTGCAATCTTCAGTTATAAACAGGTTCATCCCCCTAAAAGCCTGACTTAGCTTAATCGATTAATAATCTTATCCTAGCTGACTTCGATATAAATTCCTCAGCGTTGAGTCTCTAATCAGAAGCTGCGAGAAAATTTAAGCGGAACACGAATCGAAGAATTTTTAAATTTCCCAAAAAACACAGAGAAGCCTCGAGAGAATTACCTACTATATTAGGTCCTCCTGGAAGTTCACTTTGAAAAAATGTAATTGCAATGAGTTGGCAAAAGTGTATAAAAAATTATGTAAATTATTTCTAATGTTAATGTCAAAATTATTTCAAATATTATTTTTAATCTCAGTGTTTAATATCAAAAATCACAATTATTTCTAATGTTAATATTAAAAATTATTTCTAATATTTAATTTCACCGAAATTACATACTTTTTCAAAATGGTAAATTTCAGTCTGCCCCGACATAATCTTACTTAGGGCCAGAGTTTATTGAACAAATTCCCCCAAAATTAGAAGCTCACGCGACTTCCCTTGTTCCCCTCAGAACAACAGCCTCCAAAGAAATAATTCTACTTCTGGAAACGCGCGCCGCAATTTCGCGCCCTTTTGTCGAACGCAAGCTCCCGAGTCCCATTTTCTCCAAAGCAGAGAAACCTCTCTCTCGTGTCTCGTTATTTTCCCCTCTTTACAAAATTCTCGTGGCAGCCCCGAAAAAGAATTTCTCTCCGAAAAAGAGAGAGAGAAAAACCTGCTCATTGAGTCGTTTTTTCTTTCATGTTTAAAAATAAACGACAAACAAGAACACACACACAGACACAAAGTTCGAGCAAACGAAATTCCAACGCCTGTGAGCGTAACAAGTTTCGCGTAGTACAGGTGACACGACCCGTTTCGCGTTCTCGCGTGAACCGGAAGCTCCGCTCGGCGGCGATTGTCACGAGGAAGAAGGGAGCAGAGAGAAGGCTATTGCGGCGAACGGCGAATAAACGACGAGGCGCATCAAACGATTCCCCGTGGGCTGTTTAACCGAGCCAGTTCCGTTTGATCGGCAAACAACCGAGGCATTTATGCAGCCTGTTCGATCCAGGGTTTAAGGATTCGCCCTTTGCAAACAAGCGCGACACGCGCGCGTGCCAATATTTCGTCGTCGAGTTCGTTGAATCAACAGAACCCACGGGATCGGGTAAACGAAGGTTTTATTAACATCCGACGCGTACTTGTTGATCCAATGGGACAAGCTTAGGGTGAGAATTGGACGTGATTTGTGTTTCTTCTTCTCGTTCGGAATTTAGGTTAACAATTCTTCTGGCTCCGTCAATTTTTGGACATTTTTACGTCGATACATGGCTTGGAAATGAAAATTGACGCAGAAAATAATCTCTTCTTTTTGTTTGAAATTTTTTTAAATAATTTCTTACGTTCTCCTGAGAGTATCGTAAAAATGAGCCAATTTTGGGACATTTTCACGTCGATACGCGTTTTTAAAATAAAATTTGATGCAAAATAATCTCTTGTTTAACAATTTTTCATGTTCTCCTGAAAGTATCGTGAAACGGCCCCAATTTTGGGACACTTTCACGTCGATACGCGTTTCCAAAATGAAAATGAATGCAAAAAATAATTATACATATATTAAAGCTTGAAACATTTTCTTCCTTTGCTTCCTTCGTTCACGCGAGGGAAAAATTCTTTTTAGGTACACAGTGCTCTAGGACTCTATAAGTACTCTATAACGCGGGAAATAAAATTCAAATTAAATGCACCGACATCGCTTCTTTGGTGAAGTTTAATTAACCCAAAATTACAAACTCACAATTTCTGCGTTCTTCTACTTTTTTCGATCGCGTTATTCGGAGGCTGTTTATCAATTAACTTTTACCAACAACAAATGGATGACAATAAGAAACACCGGATATAGTAAAACACACTTCCACTTAAAACAAGTTCCCGCTGAACCCATGCGCCATCGAGTCGATCGATCATCGACCACACTTACTCATCTATGGCGCGCATATTCAAAAATGAAAGAGAACAAAAACGCCAAAACGATAAGTGAATTCGTAGAACATCCATGAAACAGAGGCATTGGCAATTTTTTGACCGCGTCAATCGGGGTCCTACTGCGATATGCACGCAAGTATGCGGAGGTGTGTGTGGTATTATCGACGAGGATTCATTTCGAGAGTGAACCAGGGTGGTTAAGGATGGAAAAAGGTGATTTGCGTGAGTACAGGTGCGAACGAGGCTTGTGGGTGTGATTGATATAGAGAAGAGGGAGGAACGGTGGCGGTGAGTTGGGAGGGATGGGATGAATAGAGAGGGTGGATGTTGGAGTGTTCTTAATGGCGGTTGAAGTGTGGTGATGAGATAGTATGTCAGAGGACAGAGAAATCTTTTACTGCCTGGAACAAAAGCGTTAGTGGCTACATAAATATACCTCGTTTCCTGGTTACAGGTACTTTTCTGCCCGATCGATTTGTGTTCCCTTCGTGCCTCCAGACGAGTATTGTAACATTTCGACGATGTTTGCTCGTTGTTGAATACAAAATTCAAGTAGGAAAATCGTCGAAGTTGTTTGAAAATGGCTTACTTGAGATTTCAAGTCTTTTTGTAGATAAGTTGGATAGAAATAATACGAGAATACACTAGTGTAGTGCTCACAAAATTGTGAAAAAGCATGCATAAAACACTAAACACTACTTTGGAACCTTAAAAAAGGAATCAATCTAATTCCAAATGATTTCAAGTCTTTTTGTATACAAATTAACAGATAACATCACTTACAGTCGAATAATAAAAGAATACACTAGTGTAGTGCTCATAAAATTGTGAAAAAGCATGCATAAAACATCAAACTCTACCTTCAAACCTTAAAAAAAATATTAATCAAATTTCAAATGATTTCAACTTTTCTGTTGTATATAAATTAACAAATAACATCACTTACAGTCGAATAATAAAAGAATACACTAGTGTAGTGCTCATAAAATTGTGAAAAAACATGCATAAAACACTAAACACTACCTTGGAACCTTAAAAAAAAATTAAACAAATTCCAAATGATTTCAAGTCTTTTTGTATACAAATTAACAGATAACATCACTTACAGTCGAATAATAAAAAAATACACTAGTGTAGTGCTCATAAAATTGTGAAAAAGCATGCATAAAACACCAAACTCTACCTTCAAACCTTAAAAAGGAATCAATCTAATTCCAAATGATTTCAAGTCTTTTTGTACACAAATTAACAGATAACATCACTTACAGTCGAATAATAAAAGAATACACTAGTGTAGTGCTCACAAAATTGTGAAAAAGCATGCATAAAACACCAAACTCTACCTTCAAACCTTAAAAAAAAAATTAATCAAATTTCAAATGATTTCAAATTTTTTGTTGTATATAAATTAACAAATAACATCACTTACAGTCGAATAATAAAAGAATACACTAGTGTAGTGCTCACAAAATTGTGAAAAAGCATGCATAAAACACCAAACTCTACCTTCAAACCTTGAAAAAAGAATTAATCAAATTTCAAATGATTTCAAATTTTTTGTTGTATACAAATTAACAAATAACATCACGTAAAGTCGAACATTAAAAAAATACACTAGTGCAGTGCTCATAAAATTGTCAATAAAGCACGCATAAAAGGCCAAACTCTACCATCAAACCTCCAAAAACTATTCGTTCGGCAATCTTCATTCGCTTCAAACATGAATTTCATCGATAATAAATCCCCCCCCAAAAGAAAAAAGAATAGAATCCAGCGAATCCCCGCTAAAACCGATCATCCTACTTCATTTCCTTCTCCTGTGTATTTTCCAAATTCGCCCCAATTCGATTCACCCGTGGATGCAAACATCCCCCGATTCTCCTCCACCGAAACGAAGACACTCGTCGCTATTTTCGGCCCCGAAAGCTCTCCCGCTCTAACCAGGAATCCGATCATTTCCGCTATTACATAGTATTGGATCACATTCGTCGGAAAATTCAATATAAATTCCTACCTAAGCCACAGTAGTGGCCAGGAGTGGGGACGAGTACGAGTACGAAGGAAGAAAAGCTCCCCTCACCGAAGGCCAGCGAAATTTCAATTAAAGAACGCGAAGGATTCGGGTCACGGATCCAACGAACCTCTCTAACCTATTTCTACGCGTACACGTACAACCTCTGACCAATTCTAGAGCAAAATATAAGCTTGCCAAGCATAGGGACACACACACCACGTGGTCGAGCAAAGCGTCTTCTCTCGATTCTCTCGCGGAATTCAACGAACAACACCGACGATCTTACATGTAGATGTGCGTGTATGTTGTTTACGATTGTGTACGGAATAAGAAAGAAGAGAAGACGTGGTTAGCTCTGCATGCAAGAAGCTCGTACTCAGCAACGAAAGGGGTAGCTTAGAAAAGGTTAGAAAGTGTCAGAAAGCTGTGAGAAACAAGTAGTCGCGTCCACGTTTTTACCTACTTTATCGCCTCCCACGTCTCGCTGCCAAAGCTCTTCACGACCAGCAGCTCGAGGGCGTAATTCACAAAACCGTACTGCACATAAGACAGAAAAGAACCATACTTTTGTTGACACGTGATCAGGTGAAACGAAGGTGTAACGTTAATTAACAGAACCGTTGTCTAGGTGTGAAACGTCATCTTTCAATTTTGTCACTTGTACACGCGATTTAAAAACTGGTATCCACCGTGTGTGTGTGTGTGTCTGCGTGTGTCAAAATGATCGGTCGTGTGTGTCAGCCGTGAAACAGTCACAGTGTCTCCCCGTTGTTTCCGACAGATACCCTTTTCCTCCCAGCCTGTTTCTGTTTTCTCCTTTCTGTATTCTGTTCGACGAACGACGTACCATGATGAATGAACGAGAAGCGGATTTTTCGAGGCTTCTCCACGTATCATTCCATTCTAATTGCCATGAGAGCCGTGTTTACCTCGTGCACACGAGCCGCGTACTGGAAAGTCGGCCGGCCGTTCGTCGGAGACGATAAGTATCGATTTTCTGCCCTCGCAGCTGCGCCACCTAGATACAACCCTGCGTTACCCGTCTTCGGCTCGCCCTACACACGCGCGCCGCTCTTACACCCTTCCGCTGCCAATCCGCTTTGCCGCCATCCTCCTCCGCTGCTCTCTCTCTCTCCCGATATTACTCGCCGCCGGATGAATACTTAGAAAACCAGGAAGACTTCTCGCTGACCTCTGTCAGCGAACGGGAAACGAGGGTTACTTGTACGGGGCTGGGAGTCGCGGTTTCGTTCTGGATTCTTAAGTTTCTTATCTTTCACTGTGTTGGCTGGATTTTCTGTTACGATGGAGAGCGAAGTGTGAAATGAAGGGGATAAATGTGTCGAGGTATTTGGCGAATTTGTGGTTTGGTTTGGGGAATAAGAGGAGGTAAATGTAGTAGGGGTTGGTTTAAGAAGGAACGGTGACCTTGAGAGAGAAATAATTTGGTCAGGCTATAGGCTCTTGTAATCTGAGGTATTTAAGAATGAACGTGGTTGGATTGGACAGTAGTAATGCAAATAATTTGGGTGATCAAGCGACGTTGTCCACTATTGTGTCCATATCTGTATACATTTAATTATTAAATATTTGTTATTTTTAATGCATAATGTGTATTGAAAGTAAGGAACTATTTTTTAGAGTTTTTGCTACAAACCGTGCTATATACCGTGATTTATTTTTTATGAGTGTATTTTTCTACTGTCTGTCGTTGATTTGACACATCCTCCCACCGAACCGAATCTCTCATTTATCCATGTTAGGGATTGGGTTTATTACATGGACGCCTGTTTACGCTATTTTTGAATGCGCCCCTTTTCTTCTTCGCGTTAATTAATTTTTCTTTCAAATTGGCCACGAAGCCCAGGAAGCGTTTTATGGATGCAGAAAAATAACTTTTCTGCGGGCCACATACCTTCCCGGTGCCCACTCGTGAACATTCAATAGACATTGACATGTCATAAAACCTCTCGCGTCTCCCCGACCACCCAAAGTCCTGTTACGCGCGGGCTACTCCTTGGGCCTCACTCCCGTGCCATCGCGACATACCACCACCCTGCCAACTTGGAAATTCCAGGGTGGGCGGCATGCTCGCGGGCCAGGGAGGACCGTCCAAGAGGGTAAACCCGTTCCCATTGGCGGAGACCACCACCTTGTACCCCTAAACCTTTTTATAAATAAGCGCACCAACGCGGCGCACATCAGATCAAAAAGGGAAAATAGACAAACACCACATAAACTACCACTCTTCAAAATAAAGTCTCTTTCTTTTAAACATAATAAAATACGTGCAACCTCATCACACCACGACTTCATACAATCCTGCGCCACCACTCTCGAACATACCGCTTGTTCGAAGCGCACGACGCAACAATCCGTCCAACATCTTCCTCCAAACGCTGTCGAGCGTGTTCGAGGATCTAATTCGTTACGCCCCATCCTCTAGATCAGTCTCAATACCGATCGACAGATCGAATTTACTCGTGAAAAAGGACGCTCCGCGTAAAAGAGAAGAATGGGAGGAGGTGGGGCAACAGGTTCGTACAGATTAATTTCGTATTAACGCGGGAAACTGGAGCGCGATACAATATTCCGGTCGAGCGATCCGCGCCTTCGAAATGCCTCCGTTCGGGACGCAACGGGGAATAAGCACGGCTTAAATTGTAATTAGAAACGAAGGCAGGAATTCGTAGCGCTTCAGCTGGTTCGAGAGGCGAATGCTTACGTTGAGACGTCTCGAACGGACGGATCCTACTTTCGCGGAGCGCACCAGCGTCGTCGTCGTTCGACGTCGGAATCGGAGGAACCGGAAATTATCAGACCCTCGCCTCGGTGAATCGGCTTCATTAGTCGAATTACGTGTATTGTTAGGAATCGTACTTTCGAAGTATGCCGGAGTACCAATTTTCGAAATGGACTTCTTCTTTAGCCATGAGTATTAAGACAGTCGTTGGTGGTTTATTTATTTGGGGAAATTTGACGGTTGAAAAAATTTAACGGATACATTTTATCTAACAGGAAGACATTTTATTCGCATGCTTTTATTTATTTTCTATTGTTTATTAATTGGTTTATTAATATCGGTTATTTACCGTATGAAATTTGATAAATTTAAATTTTACACTCCGAAGCATTTTGTTTTTGAAAAAATAAGGATTTTTAATGCTCATGAATTTACTTGCTTCTATTTCTTATTGTAATTTTCAAAAATCTAAATTTTTCATTTTAAAGTTCTCCGAAGTAATCATGTACACTACCGGCCAAAACTTTGGAATCACTGAGCACTGCACTTTACACAAAAATTTCCTGAAGAAAGTCAGCGACTTTGGGAATTTTTTATCGTTCGAATCAATTGATAGGAGATAAATCGATAAATGTAGAATTGAGATAAACTTCAAATCTATAAAAAATTAGATTTAATGTTGATGAAAAGTGATTCCAAACTTTTGGCCGGCAGTGTATGTCGCCGTAACAGCGCCATTGGGGTGCAAAGGGTTAATTTTTGGTTTGTTAGTTTTATTTAATTAAATATGTCGATACAGAAAGTGTTATATGATTTAAATTACTGAATTGAACTTCCTTCCCCAGATTTAGTGCTATATATTAGCAATAATGTGTGTACAGTCGGTGGAATCGATACAGCGGGGTCGTAAATTGAAGCATTAAGCAGCGATACCTATTGATATCCTAATAGTTATGAACGGGAGTGTATATACGGGGTGGATGAGGAATCTTCGTATAAACAGGAAGTGTGATATGAGTGAAAAATGTGGAATGAAGTGTTTTCGAATGAGATTCCAGTTTGGAGAAAAATAATTCTGAGAATTCATTCTATTATGTTACTTGATTATTAATTTTTTCCTTTTGTAAATCGAAGCTGCACGTGAAATAGCTTATTATACAGAATCATTTACTTTTCGGTTGCACCACAAATTTAGGTTATGTTTCTAACGTTTCTGAAATTTATGGGTAGGTACTCTTATGTTTTCTCTTTCATCGATATCACGATCGAATTTTCAAAATTAATTTCTACCAGCTAGTACCTTCCTATACTTCGTAATAAATAATAAGTTCTTTGATATCTTCTTTAAGAAACTTCTGCCAAGTTTTCACCAGTGGTTGCAGTGTTTGGTTAACCCCTATATTTATCGTGCCACTTTCAAATCGATCAATTCACCGATGGACGATAGCACTTTGACCACTTTTTCAAAGACAAACAATCTCCAACCCCTATTTCCTCTCACATTTCTTATTTTCCCTATAACTTCTTAACAAAGCTTCAAAGGACCTACGTCCACATAACGTTTTTTCCTCCTCTACGTCCGTAGAATACACTCACGAAGTTTCACAAATTTCGATCAGAAAAAACTAGGACACCCGGTATATAGAATCGTTCCGCAAAACTCCCTTATGTCCGATTCCTTAATTTCTCGCGAGTAGCCAAGCCAAAGGATTAAGACCGTACGCTATATATTCCCGTGCATCCTGAACATCCCCCAAAACATTCACAGAATCCCTCCACAAATTATATCCCTGGAAAGGCTCGTAAAAGTAGCTTAACCGGGGATTCTACGGCGAACATACGCGTGCACGATAACAACGCGCACGATAATCCAGTCAAGGGTGTCTGAAACCGTTATATACGGGCGGGCACCGGTAACGATATTCAATTCGCCATTCGATATTCGCCACAGGAAACGAAATTCGTTACACAGACCGTGCCGGCTCTGTCAATTATCCCCGTAAGACTCCTGTTACCCTTGTGTTACAGGAAACGAAATTTACATGCCAGCTTTACTTACAGACTCGAAACTACCGGGGCACCGTCGACGTCCAACTAATTACAAAGAGACGGGAGCACAAGGGATCGACTGGGGTGCACTCGAGATCCTCCGTTGGCCAATAGAGGCGAACCGAAAAAGGTTCTTTGATTAATTCACGCGTTTGACCAACGGTGGCCGACCGATACGCGACGAAGAAACCGAGGAGGAGAGAGAGAGACAGAGACACAGAAGCGACGAAAAAGAGAGAGAGAAAGACAGAGATGAAACGAAAAAGAGAGTGAGAGGGAGACAGAGATGAAACGAAAAAGGAGGGTGAGAGAGAGTGAGAGAGAAACTCAGGGAGGCAGAGAGGGAGAGAAACTCAGAGAGACAGAGAGAGACAGAGAAACACAGAGAGACAGAGAAACTCAGAGAGAGAAACTCAGAGAGGGAGAGAAACTCAAAGAGACAGAGAGAGTGAGAGAAACTCAGAGAGACAGAGAAACTCAGAGAGAGAAACTCAAAGAGATAGAGAGACAGAGAGAGTGAGAGAACCTCAGAGAGACAGAGACAGAGGGAGAGAGAAACTCGAGAGATAGAGACAAAAGGAGAGAGAAACTCAGAGAGGGAGAGAAACTCAGAGAGACAGAGAGAGACAGAGAAACTCAGAGAGATAGAGAAACTCAGAGAGAGAAACTCAGAGGGAGAGAAACTCAAAGAGACAGAGAGACAGTGAGAGTGAGAGAAACTCAAAGGCACAGAGAGACAGAGAGAGTGAGAGAACCTCAGAGAGACAGAAACAGAGGGAGAGAGAAACTCGAGAGATAGAGACAAAAGGAGAGAGAAACTCAGAGAGACAGAGAGAGACAGAGAAACTCAGAGAGATAGAGAAACTCAGAGAGAGAAACTCAAAGGGAGAGAAACTCAAAGAGACAGAGAGACAGTGAGAGTGAGAGAAACTCAAAGAGACAGAGAGACAGAGAGAGTGAGAGAACCTCAGAGAGACGGAGACAGAGGGAGAGTGAAACTCGAGAGATAGAGACAAAAGGAGAGAGAAACTCAGAGAGGGAGAGAAACTCAAAGAGACAAAGAGACAGAGAGAGAGAACCTCAGAGAGATAGAGAGGCTCAGAGAGACAGAGAG